CTCCCTCCCTTCCTCCCTTCTTTCCTTCCTCCCTTCTTCCTTTCCTTCCTTCCTCCCTTCCTTCCTTCCTTCCTCCCTTCCTTCCTTCCCTCTTTCTTTTTTCTTACTGCCACCAAGTGAAAAACACTTAATGGCTAAGCATTTGGACATTTTCTCAAGCATTACAGTCTTTTTTTTTTTTCAAAAAGCACACAAGCTTGCATATATTTTATAAATTTCACCTTTGCCACCCAAAAAGGTAACTACCTTTTTTTGTTCTTCAAAGTAGAAATTCCTGGCTTCCCTGAATGTAGCAGATAGATAGATGATAGTATTTATCTACCACCATTTACCAGTTGCTGCTAAACTTACTTGGACTGGTACTACTTTTCTGGAAGTGGAAGATATTTATTACCAATCCTAAGAGCCACTTAGTCTGTGTGCTGAAATAGCGTACTTGTTCTGAATTAATGTGCTTGGATATGGTGTAATGGTAATTTCTTTGTGGCAGTTCAAAAAATAACTCACAAACATCTGAGTTACAGGTTAGTTTGTTTCTCTGGAACATATTGTATTAAAAACAGATGTATGGGTCAACTCTACTTGAAAAGCATATTTACTAGTCAGGTAGCTTTATTAGCCTTAATTAAAGATGGAGAAAGCAGAGGGGAAGCCCTTCCATATGAAAATCCTGACTTTCAGCTTTTAACCAAAACTCATTCCTTATGGAAAACAGTCCTCAAATTCAGTTTTGGTTCAGATATCTTGAGGTTCATCCAGGCAGAATCTGAACTCCAATACTTGTAAAAATTGTAAAAATTCCACAGTAGCTATTTGAGGCTGATCATTTTTGTCCACAAATATAGGTCTTCCAAATATTCATTAAAAACTGGGAATTGCAGTTGCTCCAGCTGCTGTGGGGAGAAGCATTGTTTGCTGACAGAAAAAGAAAAAATGTTTCTTCTGCATTTTGGCATTTTGGGGCATTTTGTCTCACCGATCCATATGAATTGTAAAGACTTTCTTCCCTGCAAGGCAATGTTCAACTGCTTTCAGGCAGAGCCATGGTTTAGTTCATGTTCTGTGTAGTAACTGGCCCCAGAGCTCTTCAGCTGGGATGCTGTCTAAAAATGTCAGACTCAAAATCTCAGAGAGTTCAGCTAAAGTTACTTCTACTTCATCTAAGAGAATAAAGTCAACAACTATAAATAAAAGTCAAACCGTACCTGATAAAGAAATACCAAACCTTGCAGGGCATAATTTACCACATTTAAACCTGAAGTGCCTATTAAATGCACAATATTTAATTTTTATTTGATTATGATGCAGTTGTGAATAACAATCACGTTTTGTTCCGAGTCCAAGTAGGTTTGCAGCACAGCCATCAGACATTCCATTTTTAAATCTGGCCTCAAAAAGTCATTTAGGGCACTCATGAAAATGCAGTTGTTGATCAGACCATAGTCTTTAGTGGGCACCTATTTACAGAAGTTGAAAATTCACAGTTGTGCTTGGTTGGCTGCTTTAGTTCCTTTTAATTGCTTGATTTGTTTTGATTTGATTTTTTTTTTCCCCCACAAAGAGCAGGAAGAATAAGAGAATAAGAGAATTGCTCTAGGTGTCCCTGCTTGTTGCAGAGGGGTTGGACTAGATGATCTCCAAAGGTCCCTTCCAACCTTAGTCATTCTGTGATTCTATGATTCTGTGAATTCATAGTGATATAAAAGTTAGAGTTTTTGTGTTTAAACAATATGTCAGTTCCCAAGTTAGGCAGCAAAGATTAATTTGCATGACACAGGTTTAAGAGGACTGCTGCTCACCTTTATTTCAGTCTTTCTACTAGGCTGCACCAGGGATTAGACTTGAATGCTCAGAAATCTGAGCTCATGAAAACTAAATGAATAAGTGGTTAATCAATAAATTAGGAGTGGTACTCCCTCACTCACTGAGTTCTCATCTCCTTCATCCAACTCAAATTCATGGCATTTTATATCCTACATACTGTTTAACTTAGTTGCACTTCTACTGTGCCTTTGGAGCTTCTTATTTATTTGTTTTGTACAACTCCTGCACATTTAATTACTTTCCCCCATTTCATCTCCAATTTCTGTATTTCTGTCTAATCAAGTCTGCCATGTTGCTGCCATCTGTTCTTTCAAGCTTCTCCCAGGCATTCCTGTGCTTTGGGACTTACAAAGGTGATCATGGAAATCCTTTGATGAAGATTCAAGATTATATATATGTATGTATGCATGTATGTATATATATATATATGTGTGTGACTATATTTCTGGAGCATGACCCATGACAAACTCACTTCCAACCAAAGTTGAGTCAAAATCTTAATGTTCTTGTCTGCCTGCCTTTTTTCAGTTGTCAATAATTTGTATTTTCACTCATCATCATCTGAGTTTTGTTTTAAATCAAGCAGCAAGGCTGTCAGGGCAGCGGCACATCTTGGCTGTCTTTTTGCACCTAATGGATAAAAATTTGCAGAAGTGGAAGGTGTGTTTAAACTTATCCTGAGAATACAGAACAGAGGGATTCGAATGAGATTCATGTCTATTTTCACTGAAACAAAATAATGTTTTACAGCAGATGACAGGCTTGGCAAGTACTAAAGTGAAGGTCTGTCCTCACTCAAAGATGAAGAAATATTACCATGGTCTTGATGTCAGTGACTTTTTTTCCTTTGTCATGCAGGCAGGTAAAGGGATCCTGCGATCCGTCATTGCCAATAATGAAGCGGTGGCAGACATGATTCCAGTAGATGTTGTCATCAACCTCACCCTCGCGGCCGGGTGGTACACTGCTGTACACAGGTGGGAAGGTGATCCTCTTTCTCCCAGACTAGCCAACGCGATGATTTTATCTGAGCTGTAGAGGGAACCAGGACATGAGCTAGTCAAACACCTACATGAGAGCTTATCCTTGATTCTCATTTTTCTTCTAATGCTGGCAAGATCTAGAGTAGTAAAAACAATAAAGGCAGACTTTGGGGAATAAGGAAATCTCTAAAGCTGTAGATGGTATCTGGCCTCCATATAGTGTAAGCTCAGTTAACAGGTCTCGTAAAGGTTGTATTTCCAAAGACCAAGAACTTAACAGCTTGCTGCCCCTTCTCAGTAGCCTCCTCTCAGTCAGCTGTGTTGAGTCACTTTACAGCTGGCTTCTGGGGCTTTCCTGGTAAAGATTCCCTGGATGACTTTCTTGGAAAATATTGTATGATGTAAATATATGTGGGGTTGTTTGGTAGGGGAGATGATCTAAAAACTCCATTTGTTGCTTTGTTGAGAAGAGTACCTATAAGGATTTAATTGACACTTAAGGATTTAATATCTTTTTCATATGTGCTTCCGGTGTTGTCCTTTAATCATTTTGTAGGAGGTGCTACATATAGTGACCTAAACACAAGGTTCCTAGAAGAAACTTATAAGGCAGGTCACCAGCTCTTCAGAATTATTTTTCTCATAGTTTCTTTCCCATACATTAGCAACAGACAAAGCAGCACAGACTGTAATGCTTCTGAGAAAAATAAATGCAGCCTCTCCCCTGACCTCTCCATTCCCCTCCTCTACCCCTAGTGGAGTTCCCAGTGTGTGTGGACTACGGTCTACCCTACATGTTGTTTTACTAATGCATGTCTTTCATCAAAGTAAGAAACAAAACTAGGATATGCTTAGTTCCAGGCTCAAACAAGGCTTTATATGCTATTAAAACGAGAATTTTGTTTAAATGTATTGATCCATTATTCACTCCTGACAAATGGAGTTAAAATTAGCAAAAATTATATCTGTTAAGTGAATGATTGCAAAATATATAGTGTATCCCTGAGATTGTCCTGGCCCAGTTATACCAAGAGATACTCAGAAACTTGCCAGTATGCACAATTTCCTTTTCTTATGTTTTTTGATAAACGATATATAGGTAATTCATATCAAGCCTCAGCTGTCTTTATTTACTTTACGTGCTTTCCAGAATCTGACTGAATTTTATTTGAACTTTGTGTTTTATACTATAGTTTCATATTTATGAAAAATGAACCCATGCAATTTTTTTTTGATCTGATGTTATTTTTTTCTTGGACTGTTAGCTTTCATGATCCATTAATAAAACTTCAAGTGCTTTCCATCCCACATTAAAAAATACACTTTTTTCTTTTCTTTCCAGACCAAAAAACATGTTGGTGTATAATTGTACAACGGGTGGAATCAACCCTTTCTTCTGGGGAGAAATGGGTAAGATACAAGTTAAAATTAGAGCACAGGAAACCTCAGTGGCATTGTTCGGCTAGGCTTTGAAAGGTGCTGTCTGTATATATAAATGACATTCAGCATCTGCTGTTCACATGGCATGTGGCTATGCCAAAATCAGTCAGTGCAGGCCCTGTGAGCAAAAGATCTTGACTCTGGGCATTCATTCAGGAAGTACTTTCCTGGTTTTCATTGTGGGCATTAATCACATAACAACACAGCAAAGTATGTGCTTTGCTAAACTGAGGTTTTACTGTGCTGGGAAAAAAGAACAGAGAAACAAACACTTACTTAGAAGAAGATACTTTGCATAGCCATGGCTGTTTATTTTCCTTTTCTGCAGTTTGGCTTTTGTTTTTTATCTTGGTTTGAAATCACTTGGGAAATCCTTAGAGTGAATCTTGTATTCTTATAAAGGAAATCTTAATTTTTAAACTAGTGTATTAAGAGAGAATATAGTAGCTTTTCCTCCTTTTTCTGTGCAGAAGACCATAATCAGAAATAAGTTGTGAAAACCTAAGGAGGCAAACATGGAAAATTTGCTTCAAGAACATCATTGATCATCAATTTTGTCAGTGGAGAAGTTGCAATAATTTTCATGGCTGTCTTTATGATTCAAATCTTATGTGCTTCTGAAGTTGAAGCAAAAGAGAAAAGAAATACTGGGATCTATAGTGAAAAGCTGCCACTGAAACGAAGCAGCAGAATTCGTCTCAGCGGTATACTGTGAACTACTACAAACTGTCGATGCATTGAAGTGTAGACACATGGGACCTAATTTGTTTTCTGTGTTATGTGATCATTCACACTTTAACATAGAGAATTCTAGCAAATCATTACAGTGGTGTTTTGGCTCTCAGCCTTTGCTTTGCATTTACCTTTGCATTGTGTGCCTTGCAAGTTGTAAATCAGTACAGAATCAGTTCATAATTGCAGTTTCAGATTAAGGCTAGTGTGAAATTCCCACCAATCCTACCATGAGATTTAATCAAGTGATCTAGCAAGGAAAAGTCTTCATCAATTGGCTGAGCTACAAGAAAATCAAATTAGCTTCCAGAAATATTTCTTATGCAAAATCTAATGTTGTGATTTGACACAGTCTGAGAAAAGAGGCAAGGTTTTATAGATTGTCAAAAAATACAGTCACAGCTTGTACAAGTCAGACATTCCATGGCTTTTCACAGGGTATAAGTAAGTCTGTCCATAGGCTGCTACTTGAGACTACAGTCACCATAACCGAACCATTTGAGCTTTGCTTATCTAGTTCATGTTCAGTGTAATTTTACTGATAACTATACCAATGTATCAATGTATTATATTCAATCCTACTCTGCTAATAACTGTGAATTTAACAATGAAATCCTCTGAATGCTTGCCTTATCTCGTTGCATCTTGGTAAACATGGCAATCTCAATGCATGAGCCTTTCAGCTTTGTAATTGGCCTGAAGGCAAAATTTTCTCCTTAACTGACACTGGAGTTTTTTCTAGCATGGGTTGTAGCCATGTTTTTCTTGAGACTGGTAGGCTGTAGAGGGTTATTAGTTCTAGTTTCGTGATCCAGAATCAGGATGGAGTATCAAAGAGAAAAATTTTGCCCTTAAAGACATTTCATGGTTTAAGAAATTAGTGTAGGAAAGCTTTATCACATTAGAATGTTATGATGGCATGAAGACCTTTGAATGAAGTTTGAATTCTCAAATCAATCTCTTCTCAAATCACATTTTCACATGGTTCTAAAATTTCCTATATGTGGCAGACTTTCTCAACTCATCCATATTACATTCCCCATCCATCAGAACTTTTATTTCCCCCAGCATGAAGGAAGCTATCTGCTTCAAACATATGGGATACAAAAGATCAATAGGGAGTATTTATTCTAAGTATAATAGATATGGATATTTATATATCCATACATATGGATATATATGGCCAAGCCGGCACTGGATAAATGGTTAATGAGAGTAAGACTGGAAGCTGGTAAGAAAGAATGGGGAGAGATTTAAGTCATCTGGCATGGGCCGGAGCAGTTCAGTGCAAATTAAATGTGGAGCATGCCCAGGGAAGTCCCCAGACTACCAGGTTAAAAATACTTATGCTGGGAATGTAGTCTGACTGTAGGCATGACAATAGAATAGAAATTCAGCAGTAAACATTTCAAATACAAGAGGATGAGATTGGAAGGAAGGAGAAGAAAAAGATACGGAAGGAAATTATTTAGAACTATAAATGTCTAGATAAAGGCTAGAAGAGACAGTGCAGACTACTTTGCTATTTTGCTTGAAACTTTGCTATGAGTTTCAAGTACCTGAGAAAGGTGCTGCTACCATATGGTATCTGTGTATGACTGCTGATTTGAAATAACGACGGCTGCATTGTCCAATGGGAACACAATTCTTTTTTTTTCTTGCTATTATGGCCAAAGATGCCAAAAATAAGAAGAAAATCAGTAGTCTCCTTGTATGTTTCCAAACAGGAACCTTTTCGAACAGGTTACAGATGAAAACTAGACCTGAAATATATTAATATTTGGTTTTGAATAAACTGAAAAAAGCCTCAAATGCTGCAGACAATATCAAAACTATCACAATTCCAAAATGTAAGTGGTTCCTAGTAAAACTGATAGACTCCCATCAGGAGAGGGGGAGATCAAATAGAACTAGGTAAATATTGATAAGCATAAGCATATAACAGTGTGTACATGAACAGGGATTTAAAGTGTCTTTAGTAGAAAGTACTTTAGCGGGAGAAGAAACACAACCCATTGGATTGCTTTACTTATTCATGAGATACTTAGAAGGGCAGTTACGTCCAGCCCTCTCCGAAGTGTGAGTTATCTTTTCCTAAATCAAATAAGCCCCAGCACTGTGTCCAGTGCCTCCACATTGTGACATCTCAATACAACAGCTTGTTGCTGCTCGCAGAGATGGGGGCAGACCTCAGGAGAAGTTGATTTATCCCCATTTCTGATATTTTTTCTTTCCTCAAAAAGTACTAGATGCCAATGGAGGCTGTCAGATGTTCCTGTTTCCCCACAGCTTCTAAATTATCCTTAAGCACCCTTGAGCAAGCCATGGCCATGTAGGGTTTTGTCAAGTTATAATGACAGTGCTTCTAATGGGGAGGGAAGAAAAGTTAATTGGCTCTTTAGACAGACACTGACTCTGCCAAGAGCTGGGCTGGGCTGACAAGTTCCTTCCCAGTAGCCCATCCCAAGCTATTTAACATTGTTAACTATGAAAAAAAAAAGCTATTTAACATTGTTCAGCACTCCCAACCAGGGAAAATGATGTAGCAAAGTTTAAATAGAAGGCCTTTGCTAATAGTCCTTGTCATGACAGAAGAGGATTAGAGAGTGCACGTATGTGCAGCTCTGCCAGCATAACTGAGACAGATGGTAATTGGGGTGATAAATATGTTACTGGGGAGAGTAACTCCTCCTCAGCTGGCAAAGCTGTTGCTGTATTTATCAGTATTCTGATAATCTGTCCCTTGTCCCGTGTTGGCAGCACAGCTGCTTGCTACTGTGCACTGCAGGCTCCTCAGAGTGCTCATTTCAGCATAGCTTCACACTGATGTTTGTCATATCCTTGAAAGGATCATCTGCCTGGGCTAACATTTTTCTGGAGGCAATCGCCAGTCTGCTCCTCAATGCAGTGAGGTCTTGCTCCACTTGGGGTCCTTATTTTCCAATATTCATAGCAGCAAGTGTGTGTCTGAGTGTTTTCTGCTGCTATAGAGTCAGGCCTGCCTGTGCTTAAGCAGAATCCGCTAAGACTGAGGTCTAAACATTGTGAACTCTTGTGAGCTACCTGCCCAGGATGTGTTCCACATATACTGACATCCTGTGACCATGCTTGAAACAATGAAATTATTCTGTTAGTAAATTCCACTTCTGTCTTATTATATAGCAACTGTTTAGACATTTCTATCTTTCTTGTATGTCAATGAACATGCTACAGAACAAAACATCCCCAAACTGTAGTCCACAAGATAACCACATTATTGTAGCATGGCTAGGTGAAACAGAAGGGATGCCAGCTCAAGCCATTCAGATACACAATGAGTTTTAGGAGGACAGGTCTTCAGCCATTAAACTTGCAGCATACCCAACACACAAAAGACCTTGCACTAAAATTAAATTGTACTATTTTTAAAAGCCTTTTTGTCTATATTCAGCTATGAAGAAGTGTCTAATGAGCCTCCCACAGCTGTTGTTACTTGTCCTTAGAAGGAGTAAAGCAAAATCAGTATTTCAACCAGCCACAGAGAGGGCCATAAAAATATTGCAGTTGAAATCTCCTTATCTAAGGATGATCTGGATATTTCTTGTGACTTGCAAATTCTCATCTGATTTTCTATTTGTAACACAAGCTTAGAGGGTAAACTGTAGCATGAACAAAGACTGATGCTATAACTCTCAAATTCATTTGAGAGCTAAGAGCTAAATTAAAAAAAAATAATAAAGGCCACATATTTCTATTCTTTGTTTCGCTTATTAATGTTCAGCAATAGGAGCGTCATCTGTTTACTAGTCGATAAGATGACAATCATATATCAGCTACTGCAATTCTATTAAGCCTTTCCAATATGCAAATAACCCTACATATTCACATATGGATGCCACTTCTGCTCCACTCTGGTGTTGCAAGATCTCAGAATCAAAGTATTTTGTGCCTTAACAAAAAGTGAATGAAATTATTGTCACCCCATCTGGAGATTTTAGGTTAAGGACAGAGTAGAATTTGCTGCTTCCGTGTATCCAGAGCCCATCTAACAAACAGATTGCAGTATTTGTTGGTATAAATCACATTTGGTTTGAAAGGATATAATGATGCCTTTTTAGAAGCAGCACACTATGCATGTCAGCCCTCAGTTCAGAATAATACTGTCACTTGCTCCTATGAAAATGTGTTTAGAAATAGAAATGTCATCTTTGCCTTATGCCAATAGGTAAAAATTTGCTTTGAATGATCTGAAGCTATGTTAACACTCCTTGATCATCTCCTTGATCTGTTGCAAGGCAAGGCAGACTGTAGTTTCTTGATTTGGGGAGTTTCAGGCTACAGCTATATGATCATTTCCCACTGTACTATGATGTTTTGACAGTGATGTTTATGCCCGCTGATATTAAGTCTAAAACCAGAATATGTTTAAAGTAAGTAACAGGTGGATCAATTTTAATGCAATTTTAATGGAATCGTGTTGTCTAACCTGCTGATTGTATGGTCTCCAGAACTATAAGTTAAACTTATTAAGCACAGTAACTTGGATTTTACTGAAACATGCTGTTATGCTTGTGTCCAACGTTTCTCAAATTAAATTTCTGATTTTAAGCAAAATGTCTGTTCTCTTACAGAACAGTATGTGATGTCCACATTCAAAAGGAACCCACTTGAGCAGGCCTTTAGAACACCCAATGCTCACTTGACATCAAACTACCTGATAAATCAGTATTGGATAACTGTCAGTCATAAAGCTCCAGCCATACTCTATGACTTGTACATGAGACTTACAGGAAGGAAGCCCAGGTAAGAAATGGTATGCCTTCAACCATTTTGATAATTACTAATACTATAGAGAAAAAAAAATATAAATAAGGTCTGAGAACTTGCTGCATCAGCTTGCAGTTCATAGTCTTCTCCCTTCCTCCAGTCCTTTCCTTTAACTGCATAGCTGTAGCAAGCATAGTCTAGAATACCCACTTTTTCCATTTTTCAGGGAGCAGCACACATTGTAAACTCAGCTTTACACACTTTGGCAGTTCCCAAGGAAGCAAAAGAGGAATATTAGATCAAAGTTGGTCTCTCTGGTTTTCCTGTGAAAGTTCTTCCGAAGAAATAATGAAGTTAACGTCTGGATAATAAAGCAGCTGTTACGTCATCCTCATTGCTGTTATGTCATCCTCAGGTGGCCAGTGACAGGACGAGGGGTAACGGGTGTAAGTTGAAAGATAGGAAGTTTAATCTCCTTATGAGGAAGAACTTCTTTACTGTGAGGGTGACCGAGCCCTGGAACAGGTTGCCAATAGAGGTTGTAGAGTCCCCGTCTCTGGAGATCTTCAAAACCTGCCTGCCGCCCTGTGCCACATGCTCTAGCGGTCCCTGCTTATGCCGGGGGGGTTGGACTAGGTGGTCTGTAGAGTTCCCTTCCAACCTTAATCATCCTGTGATTCTGCGATTCTGTGATTGCTTATATATAAGCACTGACCTGTTGTTCTCTGTACTGCAAAATTTCAATCACTAAAACATTCTTACGTGAATGCATCAGCATGTCCGAAGTAAAGACTCTAGGCTGTATAAACCCTTGAGATGGAAAGGTTTAGAGCATGACAGCTAATGTTTTTTTTCTCATAAATCAGATGCAAAATTAGCAGTTGCTAGCACTGCCCCAAAGCTCTGATATCCAGAAAGACATGATTGCTTATAAGTATGAATAAACTGACTTATATTTACAAGGATGGTTTGCCAATTACAATTTGTATTTGAGCCTTGGCAATGTCATGGCTAGAATAAACACAGGCATGTGTGTCCCATGTGGACAGAATCCTTCTGTAAATAATTGACTTGGCCAACTTCTGACTGCAACTCCTTGCAACCAGAGAGGAGAATTTAATGTGCAGTGGAACAGTATGTCTGCTCTTCTAGTTAGAAAGCTTGCTTCACCAACACTAGAACAGGCAGCAGTAAGTACTAAGCATTACTGTTACACTGGACTTTTCTTTTCATGAAGGTGATTGTTACCAGTAACTAATGGACATTGTCTGTAATACTATCTTTGAATTTTAAATAGAGCTCGGCATGAACTCATGTTGAAAAAGATCTGAACTTTTAGATTTGTGACCTGAGGAAAGAGGTTCAACAACAGGATTGGGAGTTCTTCAATTACCCTTTCCTCTTAGAGAGCCAGTAAAGTTCATCCAGGTACTGTTGCAGTGCGGTATAAAGCAGGCATGGTAGCAGATCTTTTTTTTTTTCTCACAGCTACCTAAAAAACAGGTCTTTATGCTCTAAAGGATAGTAAACCACGTTCAAATTAAAAAAAGGATGAATGTTTCACTGAACCTGTTTAAATGTTCACCTTTATTTTTTCACTATACTTTAAACATGAGTCTAGGCTTATCTTTCTTCCCACTTGTCATTCCCATCTGTTGAAGTACAAGCTATTTTTATAGTAGTTTATTGAATTGTCTCCATGACCATATAACAGATTTACAAGCAGTAGGAAGGAATTTCTTTGCCACAAACAAAGCATAGGCCTCAGTTCACTATACTGCTCAGTTCATTATAAGGAAGAGTGTTATCATATAGGATATGTTTTCTGGAAACTTGTTATGGTTTGGCAAATGTTTATTCAGCACAGTCTATGTCTTTCATTAATTTAAGTTGCAAGATAAATCCTCTCCCAGGAATCTTACTCCGAGTGCTAGCTTTTCCACATATATTGCCAGATGCCTAGTGAGGCTGCCCTAGATGACTTCCAGTTATTGCTACATACTTATCCATGGCTTAGAAAATAATATGTTACTAGTAGTCTTTCAAAGGAACCTGTCACACCTGAGAATCTGCTCATGCAAGGCTCAGTGTGGGAGCAAGTAAGGAGATCATTGCTGTAAATAGCTTTCAAGAAGACAAGATGAAGTATAAATACTAAGGCTGTCAGTTGTTTTTTTGTTGTTGTTGTTTTGTATTTTTCCTCTCAGTTCATCCACAATGGATAATGAGATACTCTATAAGAAATTTTTGCCATAACCCTAGAAGGCTGCAGAAAAGCATTTTTCTACCTGGTAATGTTTTTCAGTGCACATTTTTTTAATACAAATTAATTTTAACTTGGTGATGACATTTGGGCTCTAACAGTTAGCATAAAGTACAGTTTTCAAACTGTACCTTTTTAGATGCCTTTGTTTTTGTCTTTTACCAGTATTTTCAGCCATTCAGATATGTTGCTTTCTGTAGGTCTTTACTGATTTGTACAGGCACAGCTCATTTTGCTCGTATTGCCAAGAGGTCTCATGGATGGGATTTTTGCTTTCCAATCTGACATCTCCAACAAAAGACATCTCTTACTATTTTTTTCTGACAGATTCCATTTCCCCTAAACACTCTAAAGATACTGACTGCTTTTTAGGAGTGAGTTTGAGGGGCAACCTGAAATCTGTGCACACACATCACAATAAAAGCGTAACTTGCACAGGCCTTGTGCAAGCTAGACACTGGATTTTACCTCCAGAGATAATAGAGTTACCCAGCAACTCCTGTTATGTTTTGGGATGGGAGTTGGGCAACCCATCGAAATACCCATGTACATCTTTGGTGCAAACACAAAACAAACTCTCACATGGAAATCTGCCCCTTTGCACAAAAACGATCATCTTCTGCTCTTCTCACATACTCAATATATCTACTTTGTTTCCCAAGTCCTTAAAATGTAATAAATATTCACGAAGCATTGCCCAATAGTTCTTACCTACTTGGAGACAACCAGGCAGAATAACTGAAGTAATTTTTAAGCAGTTTAGCTAAAGTGCATTCGGTCTATGTACACATAAATATTCGTAATGAAAACACCCTTAATCTGATTGCCTACTTCTAAAATGAAGGCTGCTTTAATTCTGAGTAGGATTGTCTGTATAAGGTTTCCTGTGCTTTAAATTCACTTTGAGTAAGCTGCACAGTTCTCCTCGGAATTGATGTACTCACTCTGTCTTTTTTTGCTGTGCTTAGTGCTTATTGTAGTGGCAGTTGCATCTGTGCAGCGCAAGGCCAGTCTGGCACCATTCTTCTGCAGACTGCCTTCTTTTATTTGTCACATTGACTTTGCTTCCCTCTGGGCAGCTCAAAATTACTCATGAAAACAACTTTGTATTCCACAGAAATCATCCTTTTAATACTTTCTCTTGCCCTTATCCATTCTGAGAGAACATGGTGTATTCTCAGAATTGCTCAAGCACTGCACATCATTTGGTACAAGAGGCCTTTTGTCTTCATGACCATTGAGATAGCTGTAAAACAAACCTGTGATTCTGTGACAGCAATACTGTCATTTTCTTTCATATAAAAATGCATTATGGAAAAGCACAAGATAAATGAGAAACTTGAGCCTCTATTTCCAAATTCCTTGTTTAGATGCCATATCCCTGGCATACCATTTTTTCAGGCCACTCACGCTCCAGAAAGTTGTTCATACAGTTCCAAAACTAAGCATCTACAGGCTGATAATTTGCAGATCATTTAGAATCCCTCACTGGATGAACATGCTGTCAAACCTTCCTCCACACTGACACTACAGAAGGACAGGACTGCTCCTTAAGGAAAAAAAAAATATATATATATTGTTATATATTGATCAAAGAAGCCCAGAGACACACACACACACACAAGAAAAACATTTTCTGAAAACCAAAGTTCAGAATGAGACTTCATGGCCTGTCCATGCAGCCTCTGAATTGGAGCTATTAAATGCAAAATCAGAGCCTCATGGTGGCAGTCAGCTCAGGTATGAGAAGTGCATTTGCGCAGTGGTTCGACTCCACAGTGGACCTTTATAAATTTTCAATCTGCTTTTCAGATTTCACTTCACAGTACTGCACGGTGTAGGTTTATTTTTTGGGTTCTTACCCTTGCTTCGTTCATGCAAGGAAATTAGGGTTCAGTTTTGCTCTATGAGGTGCAATTTTTCTTCCATGTTGAAGTCTACAATAAAAGCTCTATGATCAAGAATCTCAACTGGCAGAGTTAGATCCTTGCTGAGCAAGTTCTCAGCCTAGTGAGCTGAGCAAGTTCTCGGCCTAATGAGCATCAGTGAAGTGCTTTGCTGGAGTTACAGTTCTTATTCATCTGAACTGGTGAAAGCACTTATGGATCAAAACTCCAGCAAAGATCAAATGTCGTATTTGTCGCTGACAATCCTTCTCTGTTTCAGAATGATGAAGATAATCAATCGACTGCACAAGTCTTTGATGCTCCTGCAGTATTTCTCCACCCAGTCCTGGGACTGGTCTTCTGATAATATGAATATGTTAATGAGTCATCTTAACCCAGAGGACAAAAAGGTGAGCACATCCTGTACAGACTGCTAAACTGAAGTTCTGTTCAGCTCCAGCAATCATTTTTGGTGCATAGTTAAGCCTTCAAATGTCTAGATGACTGAAATTAACCTCAGAGAGAAATAATGCGTTCCTCCTTGTTTTATTAAATAGTAAATCAGGAACAATCTTTTGTAGGAAGGATTTTCTTCTGAGGTGTATTGAAGAAACAGATGAAAGAACAACTTTCCAACTAATACAGCAATGCTTTGTCTTTAGCTTTCCGATTTCTATTTGGCATATAAACAATCTAGATTTGTTTCCACAGACAAAATAGATTGTACGAGTATGACTTTATATTCTCTAAGATCCAGTTGTAACACAACCTTTGTTTTGGAGAAGCTAAAGGCATCATAAGCAATGCTGTCTTATTACTTTCTTCATATCACAGCTCCAGACTCTGAGTATCTCAGGTATCTCTCACTTAATGGAAGGATATGACTATGTTATCTAATGTCCTGTACAGATACCCCACAAAGAGAATATCAACAGTAATGCAAGGATTTGTGCTAAGGTAGTTTTGTTGTAATCAATTGGTCATTGAACTCTCTATAGCATTCCCAATATTTTCTCACCCTAGTTTTCTGTGTGTCTCACTTTTGGAAAACTAGGGAGATACTTTACAACATCACTTTCTCCTCTCTCTCTCTGGCAGTCCCTGACTTTTGGTGGGTGACCTGTAACTGAAGGACTGACAGAACACAAAGACTAGGAGAATTTTGTGATATGTACTGAATCCTATGCTGTCACTGCTACATTGAAGCAGTACTCAAACAAGATAGTCTACGAGCAGTACAGATGTCCATACATATTGGATAGACACATCAGGATCTGCATGGTAGCTAATCTTCTGTTTTTGACGCAGTTAGGCAACTGCTCCTTGCTCATTTGTTGTTATTTTGATACCAAAGCTCTTGCACCAAATCAAACAGGAAGGTATTTTCCAAGTATCTCCCCTTTCAAGCCATTGTAAGTAAGAAATTTTGTTCACCTGCATTCATTGATTAAAAAAAAAAAAACTATACAAAAGCACTTCCTCCCTACAACTCAAGTTACTTCTTTAATAGAAAAACAACCACCTAAGAACATTGTTGTTTTTTTTTCCAGTACCAACATTTGAAACTAACTAGTGTCATTAGCTCTGCAATAAGATTTCTCAATGCCAAAAAAGAGTAACCCATTCTTTAGATACCTTGGATTTCTATCAATCTAAATGATGAGAGGACAAAATAACAACTGATGCAAAGGGATTTCTTGATTAAATGTCCACTTCATTTATTTACACTCAAAGATAATTCTAATGACACATCAAAAAACTACAAGGCAGCTTGCATTAGCGGAATGACATTTTTCTTCCACGCTGGGTAAAGGCATATATATGTATTGTATATGCATATTTTTATGTACAAGTGGCCACCTGAAACAAAAATCTATCTTTATTTCCTCTAGCTAAAACCACATTTCTACTTGTTTTGCCCAAATGCACAATTGGACAAGAAAGGAATGAACATTAATCCACAGATTTGAAGTACAGCTTGTTAGTGCCCATCTCTTCTTTGGAATTTGGTGGCCTTGAAAATTTAGTAGAGGGGACTACTAAGAGCAGAGGACAAGGAAGAATTGGTGCTTAATGTGTATGTTTTGAATTCTGGCTTTTGAACACTGCTGTTTGTCTTTTAAATCCCAGTTGTACAACTTTGATGTTCGCCAGCTGCATTGGTCAGAGTACATTGAAAGCTACTGCCTCGGTGCTAAGAAGTACTTACTAAATGAGGACATGTCTGGGATTCCAGCAGCAAAGCAGCACTTAAGAAAGTAAGTATTCCCAGTGACAAGAACAGTTTCCAGCTACCTTGAATGGCTCTTGAGAAAAATTACTGTTTATATTGCAACATGATGGCGTTGAATAATATGCAAGATAAACACATCACGGCTCCTTTCTTATGGCAGAGAGTTGATTCTGTATTTAATTTTCCATCCTGTGAATATGGAACTTACTGTAAACTTAACAATCGGAGGCTAGATATTGTGCCTTTACAGAAGATGTCCAAATAATTAAGTTAGCAAGTTACAGAAGAGAAGTCCATGAATGCAGGAGTTCCAGGTCTTTCAAAATTACCATAGATAAATGAAAGTCAGATTTAGAATTTATTAAGATCCCAAATGCTTTTAGGAATTTGAAGGGATTGCATAAAAACTTTACGCATAGATGGTATTTTAAATTTCACTTTAAAGCTGAACTTTCTAATCATTTAGGGGAGGATATGCAGATGAGTAAAAGGAGATACCCTCTCTCCACTTCAGTTAAATACCATGCTCTTCCTGTCTTCTTCAACCCTTTTGCTGAGAAGTATAGGCAAGAGGAGAAAGAGAAATTGTTGTTCGGAGCTAGCCTGATAGCTTGTTTTAAGAAAACCATAGCTGTGCACTGTAAATACTAGAAGAATAAATGTAGTTGCCTAAACGAAGGAATCCTAAACACTTTCCTAGTCATTTTTAAAAGATTTATAAACCTTCTGTAACAATGGCCTCATAAGCGCAAGTAGGTAGTACAATGTTAGTGTTAAATAAAGGACTCTTACAAATATCGTACCATTCTTGGGCTCACTAGATATGAAGCCATTGGTCAGACACTGGATAAGTAAGAGTTACAGAGAACTGGTGAAACTGTAGAAAGAAAGACAACTATCATTTTGAAGACTCAATAACTTAATTTAAATACACAATTAAAAAAAAATGCAGTACTGCAAAAGTGAAGGCCATTATTGATTATTTGAACCCAGCATTAGAGGTGAGATTTAACCCACCAGGAAAGCTTTTTCATCAGCACCAGCAAAAATTCTCCAGCTATGCTACAGCCTCCATTCTACATAATCAAAAGTAATCAGTATACCCAAATAAGATAGGACATGTTGGACATTTCCTTGTCTGTCATGTAGGTTTCACTTCTCACTATGAACTCAACAGGCTTGGACTGCCTTCCTGGCAGGATGGTACTGTGGGACAGAAGACATTCTATGCTTAGTGTCTTTACTAAAATAGGAATGACAAAGCACTCAAGGACCTTATAAAATGGATTTCTTACAAAATTATCTGCAGTAAATGAAACAATGATGTGGTACATTTTTGGGGTAGCTTTTTTGTCCTCCTCCATAACATGCATCTCTCTCTTTCCCAGGCTGAGGAATATTCGATATGCATTCAACACCACACTCCTAGTGATCATTTGGCGCATTTTCATTGCAAGGTCACAGATGGCTCGAAACATCTGGTACTTTGTGGTGAGCCTCTGCTATAAGTTCCTTTCCTACTTCAGGGCATCCAGTACCCTCAGGCACTGAAGCAGTCTCTTGGCATCCAGCCTCTTCCAGAAGGACCTCCACCTCCTCTAATCCTCAATTGTGGGCATCCAGGCCTGAAAGCAGCAGAAAAATCGATTCCCTCCAACAGCAGCCTGCATTTATTGTGCACTGTTATATGTTCACCTTTTTAATTTTAACTAATGCTTTAATACATGGTGGTCTTTCTTCCATAGGATGAGGCCAATCTTTAAAGCCATAACTGAAGCTTTAGGAGCAGGTCAAGCTGGAATCTTTCATCCAGAGTCAGATGCACAAGCATATGGATTAACCAAAGTCATTGTCTTCCCATGCACTTGCCTAGGCTATCTTAATCTCACTTTCCCCCTTAAATGAGGCAAAGTTAAGGGCATAGAAACTCAGAAGGGGTACAATCAGAGAAGAAACAGCTGAGGAAATTAACCTATGAGAGGTCTTCCTAAAGAGGCTATTCCTTCATTCTTATTCAGTGAAATGATACCTTGTTGAAAGTCATGATTTCATTGTCTGTCTTTCAAAACTTAGAGAAAAAAAAGCAAAATCACTTATAATAGGCCAGTGAACACACAAAACATTTTTTTTCAGATTTTGCTTTATGTTGCTACGGATACTTGCAGTATCAGACTGATACTTTCAAGCCATAATTGAAGAGATGCATAGAATTCATGTACCTATCTTAACTGTGCTCACTCACAAGCTGCTTTATTATGGAAAGGTATTATTTACTCCATAAAAGAGAAAAGCTTGTGGTTAAGCTTGCAGTTTTTCTTCTATTATAAAGCCCCATTTTTTGTATTTATCATTTTTGCTTGTAACTTTTTTATTTTTTGGTCTTGAGAAGTGCTGTATTTACTCTGAGAATGAAGAGAAAACTTCTGAAAAGATCGAAAAAAAATATCAGAAGCTGTTTTTTGAGAAACAGGTCCTTTTTCACCCCATTTGTTTGTAGAAAATTTCTCTCCTTTTAGCTCAGAAGTAGCCTGTTACTGCCCTTCAAGCTTTCATTATGGCTAAATCACTCAGAAGTTGGTTATTTGCACTGGCCAAACAAATGTAAAGGAATCCAATCAAGCCAATTCTGCTACCACAGCTGTCAGTAGAAATTAAAGAGTTCAAAAATCACTTTTGTTGAGAATAGGAAAGATTTCACATACTTCTGTTTAAAAAACATTATGCTACATGAAGATAAAATATTTTGTCCTTTGTTGTGGTTTAGAAAGGACCTTAAGGATTCTATTAATGCCCAGAACTATAGGAGCTGTTTGTTTAACTTAGTGAATGGTTTCACTGGTTTTCGAATGTTTTTTTTGCTGGTGCAACAGTGGCTCTCCCACAACAGCAACAAATTTATCATGCTACCAGATTTTCAAAGTCAAATCTAATACTGGATTTTTTTTTTTACTTTGAGTAAGCTTAATAAGCACTTTAAGATTATGAGATTCCAAAACATCTACTTTTTGAAACAACTACAGCTTGTCTAGTCCCATGTCATTCTAGCTGTTTGAAAAAGTACATCCCAGAAAATATGGTGGATGGAACAATTATTCTTTCCTCAATGCTGAGAATAGCAGAGAACTTACAGAGCTAGCATTCTTTAAAAGTTATACCTGTGGCAGTGAAGAAAACAAATTATGATAAAAAGATGTTTTCATCTAAGGTCTCCAAGATGGTTCAAAAATCTTTTTAAAAAAATAAGGAATTTATTTTCTCCCTGTATTACTTGAGGTCTAGTTTCAAGCAATTGCCAAAGGATGCTTGCAGCAGAACCTGTCCAAAAGCACACTGTCCAAAGTGGTAGGACTCTGCCATTGCCTGTAAAGACCTGGGGGCTTACCACACATTACTTCAGACCGATGTTCAAGTAGGTTAGGCACACAGTTTACAAAGATGCAAGTTTTTAAGCTCTTCATTTGAAAACATACTTCGACTGTGCTAGTTGTGAGCCAAGTATTTTCTACAGCCACAGCCACAGTACCATAAAGGTTTGCATGCTGTGTATTGCACAATAGCAACGTGTCACTGCCTGTGAATTCAGGAGCTAGGTGATTCAGTCACCTAGGGCTGGACACTTCATGTCCAGTGCTTCTTTAGCAGTGTATATCACAAAGGTCAACTGCATACTTGGCTACCTTGGCTATGCAGAGACTGAATAGCCTTGGCAAGGTGAGGCATGGCTCTGTAGGGAGTCCTCTGCATTTGAAAGTATTTGCTTAAGTAAAATCAATTATCAGCCAGTTTCCAGTCTTTCCTCAGATTAAATGTTAAAAAGAAAAAATGGAAGTGCAGACTATTTTGAAAGAAAAATAATATAAGGCAAGATTCCTAACTGATATCCTACAAGTCTTTTAAAGTGCCTCTCTTCTGTATAAAGAGAAGCAACAGCTAAGGGGATCATAATTCTTGAGTTATCCACATGACAGACAAAAAAAGCAAAATCCTCCAGAAAAGTCAAATACTGCAGACAACAGAGCACCTACACTATCTGGATGAAGTACATAGATAAAAACCTACTGTTGTGGGGCTATGAGTTCCTCCAAACTCCTGCCATCTCTCCTCCAATCCTCGTTGTGCCATGCATTCAGCAAATATGCTTATAGGCACGTGTAATTACTTGCACAGGTTGTCCCAACAAATCTGACAGATGTTATTTGTTCAGTATCCAAACTATATCTGGAGCGTATCCAGACCTGCAAAAAGGTACTTCAGGTGTCCCTCAGAGCGGTGGTGGTGACATGTTTTAAAGCACTTCAGCATTTTGCTGAAGGTAACAGAAGTAGCAAAGCTACTACTCGTCCCTGCTAAATAGCAGGAGCTGCTAGGGATGTCAGAAGCATAGCTGTAGCAGACAGTTCATGCTATCCTGGCACCCTTTCACAACCCACACGATATTTCTTGCAGCTGGCTCCTGAACTTTGGCCTTACCTATGGGAAGGTTCCTTAACACAGACATAACATGCGGTAACTTTAACCATTTTCTTGTGGCTTCAGATATTTTCCAGGTGATTGTCTGAATCACAATTGTATTTCAGAATGGCCTCAATACAAAGATTGACACCTTGCAGTGGCATTCTGGTGTCAGTCCTGGTTGTGATCATAGCAAGCTGGGCCTGGGTTTAAAGCCTGTTCTGACATCAAGCAGTGATTTACCTTTGGGGCTTTCCTGTATGTTCCTGTATGTTTGCATTTGCTCTGAAAAAATAACAAGCCTTTGGGAACTAAAGGAAAAAAAAGGACAAATGACACCTACTTTTCTTTTTCCTTGCTACGTCGCTCTCTCTTTCATCTATGCCACGCACCATTTTGATAACTGAAACCCAATACAATTGATAACTGAAACCCAATACAATTATTAACTTAGAGATCCTGTGGAGACCAATATTTGGGGACCACATATTAATGTAGGAAACTAAGGAGTAGATATTATTATGGTTGAGGGCTAGCGAATTAGATTTTCAACCCATATGGTTGAAACAGGACTCAGATTTTTTACAGAAGAAGCATATAGGGGAAGAGTTTTTTCATCATTTTGTTATCAGTTGGGTTTCTTGCATTGAAATGCATGAATAAAAATCCCCCCATTCCTCCTGAGCCTCTCCTCTAGCTCTTGGCAGCCAGCATGGAGACCAATATTAGCAGTCACTCTGCACAGCCACTGCAGAAAATATCTGCCACAAGACAACGCAATGGGATTATCATTTGTAATCGCATCCCATGGACTTGCAGTTTATCCACCTGTTACGCTGTCAGAAGCCTGCATTTCTGCTACAGAAATAACATGGGAACACTGCTAAAGCCAGTGTGCTAATGTTTTTGTTAATACTATGCATATATATATTAGTCTGTAGGCTATAGCTATGAACTGCCATGTAAAAGCAATGAAATACCGAGTATCATTTCATTGTCAAATAGCAATGGGCATAAGTCTTCAAGCTTGCAATTAAAAGGAATCTCTTTTTTTATTAAATAGATACACAAAACAACTCAAATCACTACTGTTATTTTGATTTTAAACTGCCATTTGACTGACAAACAAGGCTGTTTATCTCCAGCAAGTCTATTACAAAAATAAAATTTCCCAATGTTCCCTCCTGCCCCCAAATAACTTTGTTAGGAAAATGCAATTCTTCCTTGGCAGGGGGAACAGACATACTGATATATTACAGATTGTTGGCATATTACTCATTTCTTCAAAAAATACATTTTTTTTCATTTTTGAAGAAAACATGCTTGTGTATGTTATGTCTCTGTGTGTGTGTTCACATCTCTCAGCACATATTTTGTCATACAACATACTGAGATGGTAAAAATAGTGGCTATTATAATGAAATGGCAGGCTGTGCTTGTTTGGTATGCACTGTTCTAATTCAGTTATGATTAAGTGATAAAACCTATCCTAGTTTCCTATGCAAAGGAAACCTAAACTGTAGTACTATTAAATAATCAAACCATTATCATGAATAAGCAACTGGGAAAAGAGGGAGGGGGGCACTCTTTGGTTTGTAAATAAGCTACAGCTTCATGTTTGAAAGCATGCTGTTGCTCTTCTGACATTGCAGAAAGTACAGATTAATTTTTATTACAATTGGGCCCTTTATTCTAGTGCAGAGTAAATAATATACAAAGTTAAATGGTGAATATCCCATTTCATGGTGCTAAACATTGGCAAGAAGTTGATGTAGACTTACCTGAAGACAGTTTAAAAGAAAAAAAAAAGTATTGGGGGATAATTAAAGATGCACTTTCCCACTTTTCTCTATTGCTTAAAAAAAAAACTCTGGATTGAGTTATTTTCTTGAGATGAACATGAAAATGCTATTAAAAGTTTCTTGTTCCTACATAATCTTGGCAAATCCCACTTTATAGTAAAATCTGTATTCTCCCACTGTGCAAAGTTTATATGGTTCTATCTGCTATTTCTATATTCTTGTTAGCTATGAAACAATTTAATGTTATAAATCTTACTTATAAAGTTTCTAATTTATCGTGTAATCTTTTGATTTCTCAAATCTGATAAAAATGTAAAGAAGTCACAAACTGTAAGAACCTCAGCCATAAAATTGTTAATATGAAGTTTATGTTATTTTAAACATTTAATAAAATAAAATA